CTACCTCCCCTTTTCTCCGACCTACAGAAGGTGGCTGAAGAAGGTCCGGTCATCATTGTCAATGCTAGTCAGTACAGTTGCGACGCCCTGATTATCTTGAGTGGGCAAGGTCCTGTCCATGTTCCGCTTGACACTGCACAAGTCAAAGTGTCCGAGTTGTCCGAGTTCCAGTCACTCGCGGGGCAGTTTGGTTCTTCTGATCATGAACACAAGCTTGTCGGCATCCTTCGCAAGCTTTGGAATGATATCGTTGACCCCGTAGTCGAAGCTCTCAGGGAGTTGAACGTTCGCCCTGGCTCGCGCATCTGGTGTGTCCCACTGCCGAGTTCACACTGCTTCCTCTACATGCAGCAGGACCGTACGAGAAGCACAAAGACAATCTGTCTCACATTTACATCTCCTCTTATACTCCCACTTTGACAACACTCGTTCGGCGAGACAGCGGGTTTCTCGAGACGCGTCCCCGCAACATTTTGTTGCCATTGGTCAAGGAAACCCGGACAGAGGGAGGGAGCTCAAATGTGTCGCTCCAGAGCTAGCTGCCGTGGCTAAACGTCTCCAGCCTGTCGTGTTGTCCTTCACATCGCTTGAGGACAGCGACGCAACAGTGCAGGGTGCACTCGATGCACTAAACCATAATCAGTGGCTTCATCTCGCCTGCCATGGAGTGCCAAATCGGACACAACCCTTTCGAGTCTTCCTTTGCCATGCGTGACGGGCCTTTAATGATCAGGGACATCATCCGATCCAACTGGCAGAACCCGGAGTTTGCATTCTTATCGGCCTGCCACACTACCGTGGGCGATGAGAAGAGTCCCGAGAGTCGATCCATCTTGCTGCGGCTATGCAATTCAGCGGATTTCGCAGTGTCATTGGTTCCATGTGGTCTGTTGACGACAAGGTTGCACGCCGGGTCGTGTCTGCTTTTTATTGCAACCTCATTCAAGTCAATGGCTTCGGGGAGATTAGACTGCACGCACGCTGCAGTAGCGCTGCACAAGGCTTTGAGGTCGTTGGGCAACAAGATTCCGTTAGAACAGCAGATTGTATTGTCCACATAGTGTGTAGTTAGAGACTCGGTTGCCATATTAAGTTATTCCCTATTCGCTGCATGTATCGTTGATCTCACTCCCTCGCTCTTCCGTTGATTAGTTATTTGATGATGATATTTCCGCATGATACTTTGTTGTTCTGTACTGCAGTACTGGTGCTACACACACCGTTCTCGCTGAATGAATCTGATTTACTCCTGCATCGCCACAGTTTTTATTGAATCGCGGCCGTAGCATTGTTACCCGCGAACTACCCTTGCTGCCCATGGCGTACGTATATGTTCACCGCTTCGATACTGGTTGTGGCTCATAGACACCATCACGCTGCATGGAGCCGAGCTCATGCAAGTAGGCATCCAGTATATCCTCAGGCTCCCAATTCAGGGTCTTTTGCCTGCTATTTTAATACGGTGACCCGGCATCATTAAGGTGAAATTTATACTTCCATAACTTCCCCTCTCCCCTTGCGCACGAAGACCACGAAAGGCTTCATTTTTGTTCCTTCTGCAGGGCGAAACTCAGTTGCAGCACACCATCCACTCACTTGGCGCAGCTCGAATATGGTTACCACCAATGGAAACCCAATGTGATGGGACATTGTCAATTCTGTTAACGACTGCCCAACGCACATCGTATTCGACATCCTCGGCTTTGATCCTCATTTTGAACCTGGGCCACTCAACCTCTTATCGTCGGACAAGGTGCTGGGCATGTCGTCCACCCCTCACCGTAGCTATGAGCAAGAGGTCAGTGTTTGCAGTCAAGACTGACTTGAAGGGTGATGAACAAATAAGCTCATGATGCATCCCTTGAGATGACATGCCATCCTGCCCTGCCGATCAGATGCCTGCTTACGACTGCTGCAGCAAAGGTCGAGTCACTCCACAGAAAGACAGCAGGTAAGGTCACGTACTGAATGCTGCAGACAACAGTGGGAGCCCCTGATAAATCATACCGGCGCGGTTGCAGTTGCAGTTTGACCGCTCTGTTCTGAATGTGCAACGGGCCGCGGGGGTAGGTACAAAACACAATTTTCATCAGTAAATAGTACATGAATACCGGGAAAAGAAATGGAGGTAAAAGTCATCATCGATCGGTATAACAAAACGCTCTTCACCCGCTTCAACAACTAGGGTCGTAGATGAACCATTGCCCATAGACACCCCAGATCTAGACGTATGTCAGATAAAATTTAGGAGCGATGGCTCAAATGCACGTACACTATTTACGCACGAGTCTGCACCAGAGAATTCCCGGTCTAGGAAACGAGCAGGCGTTGTCGCACAAAATTCCTTATAGTCTGCGTTGGCCGGCACGTTCATGAGATGTTGCTCAATGTGCTACAATAATGATCAAATAAAGTCTCAGAGAACAGTGCATGCCTCTCACCCTCTTCTTCGAGCCTTTAGCGGTACATCCCTATGAGGTAGAGCGGTGAGTTTAAGTGCAAGGTGAGACTTTTAGCTTACCCAATTCCTATATCCACTCCAGTAGGTGACACAGTCTAGTTCGTCATGGTCGATAGCGAAATGTCCGATCACCGTGCCTGAGCTCTATACCAAGTCAAACGCTGCTATCAGGAATAACGAGAAACGTCGACCAACATATTCGCATCTGGATGGCAAGTGAGACCGGCCATGGATAACCATCGGAGTACTCATACAGATTTTCGTCCTCTGGGGGTTCCAAGGTGAGACGTTGAGTTCTGCTACGTACTCCCTTGTTGCATAAGTGGTACAGGAATGAGATTCAAGATTGGTCCAAGTTACTTCATCGATAGGCATAGACGAGACGAATTGGATGATATAAAACACCGCAACAATGAATATAGCTCCAATAATTGTGAAGCAGCAACATCCTGGGCCATCGTTTCTATGCCTTCTTCTCGGAAGGAGATGATCGGTTTCATTGTACCTGAAGACGAGTATCAACAGCCGCCCATGCTTTCGTGCTACGTACATCGTACCTAGAATGAATGCTAATAGCCTCTATTGAGTACTGATAGAGATATGTGAAGAATGGAAGCTTACACGATCTGAGACACAGGGCGGGTAGGTACCATGATCGAGGGCTGGTGTACATGTCCATGTCCGTAATTTCTATGACAATTATAGCCATGGGAGTGACCGTTATGTGCGTGTCCTTGCGCAATGGAGTGAGGATAGTCAGGACGGAATGCTTGTGTTGGAGCATGTTGCTGGTATGGAGGAGGAGGACTAAACACCTCAATTAATATTATGAGAGCTGCAGCAGCAACCTCGGAGTCTCACCTGGTATAATGCGACATCGTATCTCTCAGTATCTCGCAAGGTGGATTAACACGAAGCTAGAGTGCTGAGTTAGACGCCATCGGCACGCGGGCTTGCCACAGGCTTTGACGTAACTGAGAAAGCACATTTCCGTGGGAGACTCGATTTTTTGGGCATGTTGATTTCGTTTTTTCATCACAACTTGAGGACGACGTCTCCGAGTCCTGCAGTCAGCTCCGAGTTTGCGACGAGACTAGGCAAACGCAAAGCAGTCATAATGAATTCGAAGTAACATGTGCACACGTCCCATCTCTCACACGACTCGGTCAGCATGCCATCGTATATATACCAGCTAAGACTATCATGACTCTGCAGACCGGACGTTCCATCGACGGCAACACGTAACACTCTTCGGGCTTACCTGTTATCATAGTCTATGATATTCGGGACAGCCGCGGAAGATAGTCTCAGATAGGACATTGCAGGACAAGTCAAAGTCCGTGATTGATCAATCACTGATCAATGACGGGCGTTCAAGTTGTGTTTTTCAGCGGTGCAAAATACCTTTTGTATTCAGCACATATCTAAAACGTCCCGGTTTTGAGTCTATGTATACACAATCTAAACAATCATGTGGAGCAGCGGAGTCGGGGGCTGGCGCGACCAAGCGTCGCTACGATTTAGACGATCTTTCCACTGCGATAACCAACCCGTAGGCTGCAGCGGCAGCAAATCCGCCAACAGCCATCGTACTGACTGCTCCCCAAATGTACCCCCAGATACTTTTCGCTGCTCCCGTGACTCGACCTTTGACGGCACCAAATATGAGGAGAACTATCCCAGTAATTATGCAAGAATATTTCAGTGCTTCAATTGCTTGAGGAATGAAGAAATATGGGAGAAGGGGGATGATACCACCAAGGAGGTATCCCATGCCGATAGTGAACGCGGAGATGTACAGTCGGCGAGTCGGAACTTCCTCTGAGCAAGAAAAAGGCAGTGACAATCAGAACCACGTCAAACGCAGGAATAATAACAAGATACACATACCCATCCCCTCTCCAAATTTCAGTAAGAAAGGCGTTAGCCCAGAGTCGCTCTTCATCCCCCGCGATAGTTTCTCCTCATCGGCAGGTGCAGTTTTACCTCCGTCAACACCGCGCTCATCTTCTATTTTCCGCAGGCAATTCGCAACAGCATGGGAGGTCGATTCATCGACACCGACGGGACTCAAAACGGCGTATACCTCTCTCTCCATTTCCCCCATACAACTCCGCATCACCCGTGAGTAGGTATGACGTTGCAAGAACCGATAATGATCCTGCTCAGCCTGGGATGCAAGGAAGCCACCTATTCCCATTGATATGGCACCAGCAATGAGTTCTGCAAGGCCACCGACAACGACTATTCTTGAAGTCCCTAAGCCAGACAGACCAGCTGTCAGCGCGAAGGGAACAGTCAGGCCATCCGACAATCCAATAATGCTATGGAAGGCGTACAAAATATGTCAATAACTTGCGAGAAAAGCGCAAACAGAAGGTCGCGAGCTAGTAAGGGGAAAGCTCACATGTCGCGGATAACATCAGGATCTATCAGAATTCTATCGTCTTCGTCCTTGAGTTCCTTGCAACAAATACCATCCTGGCGACTAAGTCTATCGCATTTTTCGGTAAGTGGTGGAGTTAAGATTCCGTTAGACTCCAGTGACCACACTGGTAGTGTTTTATTGACCGTACTGCCAGACATAGCATCTCTGCTCGGTAGGGGAACCACAGTTGCGGTAGTGCTGGTAGACACCTGGTGAGTTGAAGTCATGGCTGGTTAATGGTTGAATGGGTGGCCAACGAAGGCAGTAAAGAATTTATGAGAGCGAGGCAGGTTATATATAATGACATGACGGGCACGAAGGAACTAATGATTGGACATTAGAAAAAGGCTGAAATCAGACGGTGGCTATTTGACACTCGTCTGGCTGCCAGCAGCATGCCATGATGCAAAATTGAAATAGAGCTGGCTAGAATCGTGTTTTACTTGAATCCCCCTCCGCGACAGTCGTGTCTCAACAATTGCAGGGTGTGACGCGGAGCTGGTAGTATGACATCCAAGTGCGTGAGTGGCTCATCCCGGGAAGAGGGTCTTGCAATTGTCGGATCCAACCCTGACTGATCCGTGGGAACCCCCGAAAATATAGTTGATGAGCCTAACTCAATACAAACTTTGAAAATGAATGATAGCGATGACATCCATAGTTCGTCGTTGATGCTATCCAGAGTCTGTCATCTCTACAGTGAAAGTCTGCTTTATCCGTGCCTGTTTCTGCGTGGTGTTGCACTGCGAGTTGGAACTAAAAGGTCAGGTGCGCGAAATAAGGAATGTGCCATGGTGTTAATGTAATCATGTCTCATTTCACTTTTGAACGCACAGAGTTTGCAAGTATGCCGGGCCCGGATGATATCCTCTTTGGCAAGATTCACTTGACGACACCTGTCCCACCTGCTTGCACAAGAACACGGGGCATTTTGCTTGCTGCTGATTTTTAGAACTTGTACAGCCTTCAGGTGGCCAATGCTCTACCGTGACGTACTCCTCCTGTCATCGGCGCTATCGACTCAGCGGCTACACATCCCTCTAAAGCCATGTCCTCACGGTGGATTTCGGGATCTATTGATGATGTTGCTCTTTGTAACAGTTTAGAGAAGCTGAACCGCACTGACGTCCGAGTACAGACGTGTATTCGTCGGTTTACGCCACGCTACTGCACACTCTACAACAGGCTCTCTCATCGAAAAACATGTAACGAATCATGTTCGGCAACGTGTACTATACCTATTTCATGCCGGAGCAAGTGTTTTGGGCGACGCTCGTCTGCAGATTCTCGCTCGTGAGTTTAGTGT